ATAGCAATACCATTACGACAATGCGACAGTTCTATGAAGACAATACAATGCCGACGATACGATATTTGCAACAAGTTAGTTACGATGGCGATAATGCAATGGTGGTGAAAAGATATTGGTATCGTGATGTCGACATCACAATATCGATTTATTGCATTGTCGCCCTTGTACTATCGCACTGATATAACCACGATTGTCCTTATGATATTCCGTGTATCACATATTGAAAAATAAACTTGTGACATTTGTGATTCGCCTGTTTAAAAATTCTCAATTTTGCTTGTGACGTTTGTGATTGGCATTTTTACCCGATTTTGGTCAATCACATTCGTCACAAAAGTCATTTGTGACGAATGTGATCACATTCGTCACAAATTCATAAAAACTTGTGACGAATGTGATTTGTGACACATGTGGCCTAACAGTGCTTTATAAAGAAGTCATTATACATTGTTTAGGTTTAAGATTCTGTTGGTCTCGTACACATACTCGTTCTCGCCCTGCATTTATTCAATAATTGAACACTTTAATATCTTGTTAATAATTAAATACGCAATGATTTGCGCGTTTGTTAAACTTGTGCTTTGAGGCTTTAAAAACATCAAAATGGTTATCATAGATACCTATTTTTTTACCTAAAATAACAAAATTAAATAAATCAAAATACAAAGATCACAGTTATTTCTTTATCACAGTCTTTACCATATCTTAGTAATTAAAGATCCTGTATGTTATAATTAAGATTGTTACCATACTTCAGTGAAATTTTATATATGTATATAATAATGCTTGTAAAACAATTTTCAAACATCGAGGAATATGTTAAATACGTACTGCAAATATTTGTCCACATTATATGTAATCATTAAAATATACATGTATGCATTCATTTCTTATGAAGAATTTGACTTACACTTTATAGAAAATATATTTTTGGTTATCTTCCTTTATGAAATGTAAATTCGGTAATATCTTTACAAATAATGCTTTTTGGAACTTACAATTTTAATAAATCTTCATTTGAGGATTATATTTATGATATAAAACCATAAAAATTGACTTACAGGATCTTTAAATGACATTATAATAATAACAATTATACAAGAAGGAGTCACAGACAGTAAAATCCCCCGCCGAAAAGGAGGAAATTCATTTCAAAGGGGAAGTAACCCTTACATACATGTAAAAATCCAAGTGATGACACTCGTGAAAATTAATGAAAAAAATTAAAAAAACAACAACAGCAAAGATGCATTAAAGTGAACACTTCTGGCCCTTATGATCTGCTATTCACCTCTATTAAACATGTTCAATATAAAGTTTCAAGTTTATATCTCAAATACCTTTAGAGGTATGGTCCTTGCAAACTAATCATAGTGAATACAAAAGAGCAATAACTCCAAAACTGGAGAGTTGTCATTCCTGTTTGCGGTATTTTACTTTATTGTAATCTATCCTCCAGTAAAGTTTCAGATAATTTGATCTTTAATGACATATGTCCAAACATTAATGCAAAAAAATGAACAAAAGAAAATTACTTCAGAGAGCTATTATTCTGGTGGTTTTTGAATAATCCTCCTCACTGAGATATGTCCACAGTTGGTATCTAAAATATTTGTTCCAACTATATATATGTATCGTATTCTAAAAATGCTGGTTCATTGAATTCTAACTGATTACATGAATATACGAACTTGAATATAAAGATATATTTAAAAGATAAAAATATCTTAACACAGCAATGTGCTTTCAAAATTTGTCCGAGTGGGAGCATCTCTGGAATCGAGTCCAAGCGGGAGCATTTTCAAATTTTATAAAAAGAATTAAGAAAAACTGACTTTGAATAGAAATATTTGAAACCAATCTAATATAAGGGGTAAACATGACTCGGTTTATGTTCCGGTACGTGAAAAATAACGTTCAGGAAGGTTTTCAACCTTATTTCTTATATGTTTTGTGAAAAGTCTGAGTGGATGCATTCAGAGAAAAACACTTATCCCGTTTTCAGGCCTAAATCAGGCAATGAATCTATAAACTTTTTTTTACAATTATCTCAAGGTCTGTAGCCATTCTTTGGTGCGCTACATGATTATTTGATACTATTTCGTTTTCTTATAACAAAATACATGTAGTATTTTACCTTCGAGTCGACGGAATTTCTGCCAAAAATGGTCCGAGTGGAAGCGTTCAGCAGGTGCGCGATGACGTAGTATCCTACCATTGATAACTGTACACACAAAATCTTTCACCATATAAACGTTTGATTTTGTCACAGACTAGCATCTACCACAATTCAATACTTACAAAAGAGTTTGTTTTGTTTTTTAGGAAAATGACATAACTGTATTCATGAAAGTTTACAAGATATTAACTTTTATCACATTTAATTATGCAACAGATTAGCATCTTCCACAATTCAATACTTGCAATTTAAGAGTTTTTTTTTTAGGAAAATGACAAAACTGTATACATCAAAGCTTACAGGATATTAACTTTATCACATGTCAATACTACAACAGATCAGCATTTACCACAATTTGATACATACCACAGATTAGCCACGCAATGGTGAACTTAAATGCAATAACCCCTATCGCTTTCAACACTTTTCGTATCTTACCCATCTTCTCTTCAGAATCAGGGAAATCTTTCTTTAAATACATCTCTATTATAGAGAAGACGGTCGCGAATAGAAATGGGACGACTCCTCCAACGATTAGGTATATAGGTATTAGCTTTTGTATAGGACAATCGTCTAGGTAAATAGCCCCTGAAAAAAGGGTAGATAGATATATGTACCTCTGAAAGTTGTATTAAATGTCGGATAGTAACATTAAGGAAATAAGAAAATTTACATTTATTACGATGTGTGCACGCGATATGTTTTACGAAGCCACACGCTGGATACCGGTATTTTGTGCGCACACGAAAGCTAGTACGTGTGAAAATGCGATAGTGAAACATGGCCACGCAATAGCTACGTGCGCACGTGAAAGCTGTTACATGGCTGCGTAAACGTAATACCTATCGCGTGACCACGTGATACTGTCCAAATTATCGTGTGCGCATGTGCTCTTAGGCTATTAGGAATGGGACTCTCCTCCAATGATAAGGTATAAGTAGGAAAAGAAAATAGCCGTAAAAGACCCCCACCTACCCCCTTCAAAACGATGTAAATATGTAACAGAATGAGCATCGAAACAGAGGCTGATTTGTACGAGGGGACGTAGCCTCCGAGTATTAATCAGGTTGCCAAGTGTTTTGATGTTATTTCTCTTTTGTATCATATTCAAACATAAAATCACGCTCCCGGTTGTCACAATATGAAACCCCGGAGGAAATGTTACCAATGAACGAGCATCTGCATATGAAATTTCTGTCGCTTTCCCTTTCTCTGCCGTCACAATAAGTAAACCATAGCAAAAAATGAGCCAATCAATGGCCATGCTCCGGAGTGCGGGTAACTAAAATACATGCACTCCAGTTAACGCACGGTGCCTGTATGTGTATACGATTTAACTTAGACACATTTTCAACAGTAAGGTCCCCTATGATACAACTGTAAAGGAGCATAAAAGAAAGGTATATGGCAGTAAAAACTGTAAGATGACGTAAAGATAGTAACATAACTTATAAGTCCCGTCTTCTGTTATTTAAGCCCAATTTGGACACAGTCGTTCTCCCTCATGTATGAGTGTTTAAAAATGCTTTAAAAACATTTAATTCCTAAAATGTTATTATATATAGTTTCTTACCCATGACGATCTTGGCGATATTTAGGCCGAAAAAGACGAAGACAATAAGTACAACCACAATTTTGACAACTGAAAATTAAAAATGGGACAGCGTTAGTGGTGAAAGCGTCTAGGGCTATCACAATGTAAATTAGAATTATGCTCACCCCTAACACACCCGCGCGTGCGCACCACACACGCACACCCACACACGCATATACACGCACGCACACATGCACATACACATACAAAGAACTGAAATAAAAGTTTTCACATTACTGGGTTGTTCGGTCAATGAAAGATTTAATGCAGAAAAAAAAGAATAAAAATAATAAATTGATGCCACAAAAAGAAGAAAAAGAATTTTGAACCTTTCAATTTTTTTTCTCCGAAGAGGCTGTCTGTAATTCCATGACCTTGACCTTTGCCTTGACCTTGACCTCGGCCTTCACCGCTACCAGCTCCGATACCCATTCCAAAATCTGAAAACAATATTGTTCTATTTTATCTGAAACAACAATAACCTTAAACAAGACTGTATTTTATTAGTTATGAAGATTTATAAACGGTTGATTTAATATATTAACCGAGTCTCTATGCATGTGCTATATTGCAAACTACCGATATATTAAGTAGATGTAATAGGTAAGATTATTAAAATTCCAACACAAACTTATTTAAGTTATCTGTACTATTGTACGTAAAGACATGAAATTTACATGTATACCGACTTTTTTAAGCACTTTTGAAAATAGAATTGATTTTATAAACCGCGTCTGTACTTAAGCAATGAAAGAAAATCAATAAGCAACAGTTTAAGGCAGACTTATTAACTTACTAAGCGCCATGTGTTAAAAATAGATATCTAAAATGAAGAAAGAAGATATGAATAAATACTTACATAAGAATTATTAAGATCCCTTAACAGTATAAAATATAAAATGGTTCAGTATTGTCATGTCTCCAAAATATAAATAACGTTCGTTGTTATTGTTATTTCTTAAACGTGTGTGAATTTGAATTTCAAGAGTTTATATATAGATGTTTGATCATCGCAATTTACTACAATCAATGTTATAATGTCAAAATAAGCCGTATACACAGTATTAATACTATTGACAACGGTATTTGTTGTATACACTATAATTATAGTAGGGTCAATTTTACTTAACCGATATTCCATGTATTCAGGTAGTAAATTAAATATCTGACGTGTATTTTAAGATCAATATCTTTTAGAATACTAGAACTTTGGTCTGTGAATCGGTGTTTTAAAAAACTCCTATATACATTATACATGTATACCAATATTATCATTTAACATGTGCTGTATAGAATGGTAGGGCTTTAAAGCAGCATGCCTCCAGATTAATGCTAATGTGTTTGAAAGTAAAATATTGTGATAACAGAGAAAGTAATTTACATATCGCAAACGGCACTTACAATCCATTTAAATTACCAATATACATAAATACCTCCTACCCCATAATTAACGCAGTAGAATTATAGTGATTGATACTGCAAAACCAGTCATAAAACGCACATAACATGTAAATAATTAATTAAATACTGAATATTTTTACTGTTCTTAATACATTTTTCTAAAGATTGAATTTCTTAAAATATTTTGGCTCATCTGGAGGCGTGCAGCTTTACAAAAAAAGTTTGAAAAACATAGCATAATCTAAAGATGACATGTTTGAATAGTTTTAATGGTTTAGGTATTATTGGTAACTACTACTGCTGCTGCTGCTACTTATGTTAATAATGATAATAATGTTTATAATAATAATAATGATGATGATAATTGACGACGAAAATGATGATAGCATATTTATTATTGCTATAATGATAATGATAATGATGACTATTCATTATTGTTATTATTATTTTGCAGGTATTGCGGCTATTAATAGTGATTATGATGATAAAGATGGTATGGTGATGATGATGGTGATGATGATGGTGATGTTGCTGTTGTTGTTTCTGATGCTGATGCTGCTGCTGCTGATGATGATGACGATTATGTTGTTGATGATATTGTTGTTGATGATGATGATGATTGTGGTGGTGGAAATGATATTGTTGTTCGTGTTGTTGCTGTTGTTGTGGTTGCTGCTGCTGCTGCTGTTGTTGTTGATGATGATGATGATGATGATGTTGTTGTTATTGTTGTTGATGATGATGATGCTGCTGCTGATGATGATGATGATAACGTAGAAATATTGCAACAATTGTGCAAAAGTAACACAATTATTCATTTCTGTAGGAATCAATATATTTTATACTTAATCAAAATGAATTAACGCTTATGGTTGCTGGAACATTATATTTTAAAGCTCAAATATTTCCAGGATACTGCTTGTTTTTCAAAATCTTCCGTGAGAATGACGACCTGGCTTGAGTATTAAGGCGATTGTTGAGTATTTTGGCGTCCTTCAATACAATAACTCATATATTACATTATACCTTTTAATATTCGGTGCACCTTGCTTCCTACTCATGTCATATTACATTCAAACTGGCAGATAAAATGAGTCCGAGACCATTTTTTTGAGGTAACGCCGATTGCGTGAATGATGTACCGAAGCAACACTGGTTACCCTATAAGAAGTACATGTATTTGATCTGCTTTATTTTTAGGTCAGACTATAGTATTTTCCCACATACTAACATTATGAAAAATTGTTCCTAATCCTATCTTAAAGGAACTCCATCGAGTTTGAAAGGCATAAAAACATTGTAATTTCTTATAATTAAGACAAGATGGGGAAACATTTGCAGAAGATAATAAGAAATTTATTAAGAAATATATTTAAAATTGTATTTTGTACTGTTCTTAGCGAAATTTGATTTAAATGCATTACAACGCTTTTCAATTTTTGGTCGTTTTACACAATAAGAATAATCATTCTGGAAAAACGGAGTGAGCGGGTGATCTGAAATTTTACCTGCATCAAACAGAACATTAATCCCTAAAAATAATTCCAGTCCTATCATGTCAAAAACCATCGGTGCAGTCCCTTTAAAATTGAGTTTTAATTTCCTTCATTCAAATTTCTGCTGATCACAGGACTGGAATATACTTTTTTAATGAATATATCCAAGTGACAAATCATCATCCTTGAAACCTAATGAAATATTTTCTTTAGTTCAAATTAGTTTCTAAATTAATTTTCATACATCCGATTTTCATCCAACCAGCTGATGCCCCATTGAACCTTACGGTTTTTCCACTTTGCACTTTTCCAGCCAATAGTTACCAGCCAGATTGACAATCGGAACTCCTCGGCTGTTATTCATAATTGGCGGAAAAGGCCGAGAAGGTGCGGTTGACAGTTTGACAGATGTCATATCAAAACAAAGTTTAAAATGCGTTATTATACATATGTTGTTATTGTAAGGTTATTGTATTAGCTCCTTCAAAACGGTAGTCCCGTATGAACTCTTAAAGTAAACCTCTTACTGGCAATATTAGTAATGTTGGTTAAAATATCATATCGTGATGACCGCCTCCGTGGTCGAGGGGTTAGAGTCGATGACTTCTAATCCAGTTACCTCTCTGGCGTCAGTTCGATCCCCGGGAGATGTTTTGGTAGTTAAGCACGGAGGAAGGAAGCCTAGTACTGGTTTGGAAACTACCCGCCTATATGACTTAAATACTGTTAGGAAAAGGCGTAAAATGAAACAAACAAACAAACATGTCGTGTACCCTTATTCATTTCTTGTATTTGATTAACTTTCATATATTTTGGTCCGTTTCCTTACCATGTCAATTGTTTCGACCGCTTGCCCCTCTCTCTGTAGGTTACATTCCTACCAGGGAATTTGGACTCTTTCATGTGCGTAAGCTATTCAACAAGCTTACGGAACGCCGGTGATTTTACTCCTGAAGTAGCGCAATCGTACCTGAGATAATGCACGAAGGAGCACCTAGGCACCTTCCTCCAACAGTAAAGCTGAAAAGCCAGCATATGACCTCTATTGTGTTGGTACGGCGTTAAACGAAACATAGATTCCGCATTCCTTTACCCTGCTTATTTTCACATTATTGTGTTACTTGATAACAAGGTGTGGTTCGAATCACGGCCAGGTTACATATTTTTCGGCCGAAGGCCGTCTGATTTCACCTTGACTTCCGCTAAAATTAACAGTAAAGAAATGAATATAGGCAGAATTTTCATTGGTCAGTTTAACAATAATAGCCTGTTCGATTGATACTTTAGAAGAACCGGATATAAGACGATTGAAACGAACTTTCGACTAATTTGCAGTATCTACCAAATCTTTGTTTTATTATAAATTCCTATTCAAATCAAATTCCATTTTGATTAAAATCAAATAATGTAAGTGATATTGTTTAAATCTAAGATGACAATTAATGGGGAAAAACATTGCGGGTAATAATGAACTGAAAGGACGAATAAAATGTTCTGTTTGCGGTTCTCATGGTAAGCCTGCGTCACATTACACTCCGATTAGGTTTACGATGGGGTACCGATGTCTGAACTTGCTGAAATTGCCAATTTGTTTAATGTCTCCGGTCGGTGACCCTCCGGTGACAAGTGACCGGTGGGGCACCGTACAGGTAATCGGAGAATTTTAGTGCAGAGTTATTTTCTTTCGGCATCCGGTACATCGCCAGTTCACCGTGGCAGACACGGTAAAATACCCTCCGATACCCGGCCGGACACCTTTTGTTATCGGTTACAATTTTCACCTCCTGGGCACCAAATATATCTCCAGTTTCCGAGCGGTATATGAGCGGTCACCGAAGGCGTCTCGACAGGTTACTGACCAGGGCCCGGATAGACGCAGTACGTTGCACGTATGGTCTTAAGGTGTCCGTAAGGATAACGTTAGGGTAATTAAACAGACCTTACGGCAGGTAAAGCCTTGGACTGTGAATTAGGCGACCCGTGTTCAATTCTTGGACAACGGTGAAGGTCACTTCCGTTGTACAAAAGTTATCAGTACCTTGCGAAAGTGAAAGAGATTATTACTGTTTAACTGCTTGTCCAGGAACGATACGGTGGCTGAACTGTGCTTTGGTATGTTTATTCAAGTTGGCTTACTGCCATCAAGGTAAATCATAAATATCACCATCATTCTCTCATCGGCCAGCGTGTAGAGCTGAATCCCTTAAATCGCTAGATTTGTAATTTGGACAATGAGGGTTCGATTCCCGGGATGACCAACTGAAATTACTAGTAATCTTTCAGACGAGACTTTAAAGCAAAGTCCCGTGCTTAAACACTTGGATAGGTTAAGAAGAAGGAGAAGCTTGTTTGGTGTACTGCTTGGCTCCTTGACGGTGGTCATCCTGTGTTGTTGGATAGTGTCGTGGTTGCGTTCATTGAATGCCGCCTTCCTTATTGGTCTTGATTCTCATATTTTTCTGGCATCTTGCTATCTGTATCTTACACTGTCCTCCAAAATCTAAAACGACTAATACTCTTCTGGAGGACTCGCCTATACGGCCAACCGATGGCGAGTATTAAGAAACTCAATTACACACACATACTAGTATTCTCTCAGTTTTCACACACGTCAGAGGTTTCTTAAAGTTTTCAAGTTTCATTTACAATCTTTTATGGAAAACTTTGATTTCAGAGAGTAATGTACCTTCCAAAACAGAAAGCAAAGAAGGGGTGGGGAAGAAGGCAAGGAAAAATGCCAACAAAAGAGGGGGGGGAGTGAATAACAGCCGGAAAATGGGATAGCATGCCATTCGAATACCGTCCGACAGCCGACCAGATATCATACGTATACTTTACCGTCACCGTACGATTGTTGCAAGATAACGGAAGGCAATTAGACATTTATCGAACGGTAGTCTGCCGGTTACCTTTAGAATATCGACCGGTGTCCAGAAGGAAAATGCTAAGGGTTTTCACCGGGTGACTGGGCGAGTACCCTTCGGAAACCGTCCGAATAACTAATGGACCACAGAGGGAGAATGGCCGCCCACTTCTTCCCGGTCATGACTGAAATGTTTCTCTCCGATCTCAAATTATCAACGGTGTCCCATCGATCCCTCTATATCGGCCGGTCCCCGCTTTTAATGTGACGTAGGCATAAGTAGTAACTTATCCTATGCAAGTTTACAAGTTTGACTTCGGCCGAGTAACTTTTTAAAGATACTTCTTGTTTAGCATGTTATGTTTGGCATTCAACATGGAATAATGATGTAATACATCTCTTAATGTCAAGAAACACTGACAATCATTTTCAATATCCATAGAAAATTCCATGACGAATTTCAATATACACAAATGTAGTTGGAGAGTGAATAACTGCTCCCTAATTAGGGTGGAAAATGTGTAAGAAGCCGGAGAGCTCATTCGGGAGAGCCACGGAACAGTTTTCCAAGGATCTCGCTCAGGTTCCACATTTTTAAATACATGTATGAAATTTTACTTCATAGATGTGCTAAATCAATAGGAAAGAGTGTGGCGCCGAAGATTTCATCATGGTTAATCGATAGCGAGATGAATGCAGAAATAAACAAACACATGAATTTTTAAGTAACATATATAAAAATAACAATACAAAAACTCGGTTTTAAATTTTAGGCGGTGAATTCGTGATTATGCGAGTATGAAAAAGCGGTTGAGAAAAATATTGAGTTGTGTCCAACCTATAACAAATGTAAAATGGCGATTTTGGCAAAACACCCGGTGAGCAATATCTCGTGCTTTCAACAAGCCATGCCAGCAGAAACTATTTCAACTTATGAAGACGAAAGTTAAAAGTAAGTTCAGTAACATTCACAGTTTCTTGCACATTAGCTTCCTTTTGACTAATCTGGACCATAATTCCATTATTCATTGTGAGTATAGTCGCAGGCTCACAAAAATCGTAAGCGTTTATAGTGTTCTTTATGAACTAACTTCTTTGCCTTCTTCATGGACCTACTTCTTTGCCTTTGCAGCAGAACATTCCGCAGCATATCACTCCGCATACACAACACACCGCCACCAATATGAGAGCATAAAATATCCAGTCTATTATTGTCACAGCGAGGGCGAACTTCATCAGGGACGCATCACAGCAATCACTCGATCCACCACAACCATCCATAACATCCGAGTAGTTTCCGAAAACCCAAACACTTCCTGCAACATCCGGATAATTATAAAATACATATAGATTAAATATCTAATTTACAGTATATAAATTTAAAAACCTCATCAAAATTTGCTGTAGCTAATCTTTTCGCCTTCTTCAGTGGCATTTATTATACATACAAATATATCATGTAAATTGAATACATTTTTATGCATAATAAATGCCGCTGAAGAAGGCTGAACAGCCGAACGTTACAGCGAGTTTAAATTAGAGTTTTTAATTATCATATCCATCAGTACTTTCAAGTTTATTTCGATTTGCACTCATCACAGAGGAACAGTTATTGCCGTAAATTTGTTTTTTGACCTCAATGGAACACCTTTAGTACATCAAATCATCAAATTAGCTTTTTATAACAAATAATAAGCGATTGCAACAACTTTTCTGTTACATGTGTGCTTCATAGCAATGCTTATCACAGAGCATTTACAACAAACGAATGCTAAACACATGCTTACCACAGATTAGCATTTACAACATAATAATGCTTACCGCAGATTAGCATTTACAACAAAATAATGCTAACCGCATGCAGATTAGCATTTACAACATAATAATGCTTACGGCACATTAGCATTTACAACATAATAATGCTTACCACAGATTAGCATTTACAACATAATAATGCATACCACAGATTAGCATTCACAACATAATAATGCTTAGCATTTACAACAAAATAATGCTAACCGTATGCATTTTAGCATTTATAACATAATAATGCTTACCGCAGATTAGCATTTACAACATAATAATGCTAACCACAGATAGGCATTTACAACATTACAAAACGTAATTATGCTTACCAAAGATTAGCATTTACAACATAATAATGCTTACCACAGATTAGCATTTACAACATAACAAAACATAATAATGCTTACCACAGATCAGCCAGGCGAAGTTAAACAAAGCTCCTATAAGTCCTATTACAGTAAGAAGATTACATTTCTCCTTCAAGTCTTCTTCTGCCACAGGGTCATCATTCTTTTTCTTTAGAGAACTTAAACCCCCCATAAAAACTGGTGCGACCCCTCCAACGATCAGGTATATGGGAATAAGTTTTTGTATAGGACAGTCGTCAATGTAAACAGCACCTGGAACATGGAGACGACATCTTTAAAATGTGAGAGGAAGAAAAGCGGTAACATTAGAGAATCAAATATGAAAATACACTGACGCAGTTTTTTGTTGTTGGTTTTTTTTAAGTTGCCTGCCTTTTACTCAGGATTCGTTTGTACGAGTCCAGATGGGGACATAACCATATTACCTCGTGTAACACCAGGACTTAAAGACTGGCGAAATTCGGGAGTGACAAAAATGCATTTTTTTTTCTTCTTCACGTTCAAGGTAAAAACGTTATGTCAGATATATACAAATGTTGAAAAGTTTCTTACAAAAACATTGAATTCTTTGAATTGATTTGATAATATAGTTTCTTACCCATGACAATCTTGGCGATGTTGAGCCCGAATAAAGCCAGGACAAGAATAACAACCACAATAATGAGACCTGAAAGATATGAGACTGCTATATTAGTTACATATGACTCTAACGAATGGTACGTAACACAGACCCCGCCTCTTCTCTTACGAGCACGCGCTCGCTCTCACGCACTCACGCACGCACACATTGCCCCCTGGAAACGCACCCAATAAATACATCGGACAAATAGACCCCGCCTCTTCTCTTACGAGCACGCGCTCGCTCTCACGCACTCACGCACGCCCACATTGCCCCCTGGAAACGCACCCAATAAATACATGGAACACGCACAAAATAGCGTATTGAATACAATTTACGCGGGAAAAACAAACTCGTTAGAATAACACAGTAATGTAAAGTTTCAAAAATATTTGAATCTTCACTAAGTATTTACTCATACATTTTACAAATGAGAATATATCTTAACATCGTATTTTAATTGCAAGAATTTATCAAATTAAAGATTAAAAGCTAACAATATAAGTACAGCATAATGGATGACAATATTTTAGACAATTACTTTTTTATTCAAATCATATCTCTATTAAGAAATATAGAAAGAAAGAAAACACACCACAAAAATATGAAAGAAATCAAATTATCAACAACAACAAAGAATGGAGCTACTTTTAAATTTTAACAAGTGTGAACTAAACACTATTTCAATATTGTTATAAGAGATTTATTTTCTTTGTCAACTAAATATGAAGTAGAATACTTTATTTGAATTCTTAACACTTAGTATTTAATAAGGAACAAAATATAAACATTATAGCAATCGCACCCATACACGTTGTGAGAGATCATTAACGTGACATTATGCCCATCCAAGTGTAAATGTTGAGTGCAACGGTTAAGGTTAAAATAACCTTACATTTTGCCATAATTGTTTTCAATTCCATATTTCATTTGCCAAAAAAAAAATCAATAATACACGTGAACCACTGATATAAATATCGATCGGGATGTATCGGAAACGTTCATTTTTTACATTAATATTTGAGCCGCGTCACGACAAAACCAACATAATAGGTTTGCGACTAGCATGAATCCAGACCAGCCTGCGCATCCGCGCAGTTTGATCAGGATCCATGCTGTTCGCTATCAGTTTCTCTACTTGTTATAGGGTCTGTAAGCGAACAGCATGGATCCTGATCAGCCTGCGCGGGTGCGCAGGCTGGTCTGGATCCATGCTGGTCGCAAACCCATTATGTTGGTTTTGTCGTGACGCGGCTCATTTTATCCTTAACATTTTTTTCATTATCAATCATTGGTAGAAATATATAACTACATGTATTTCAACTCAACTTCGAAATAATGAGCATAATGTCATTTTCAGCAGTAGATTTAAAATAAATACATAATAAAGATGTATGCATGTACTTAAAAGAAAACTGATAAACACCAGCGGCTTTAAAAAACGTGCAGACGTTGAAATCTATGCTGGCAGAGAAATGTATGCAGACGTGGTCAATGAAAAGCGCTAAAAGCCTTTTATTCATATATGAACTGTCGTCAAATTCTTTCACAGATAGAAGTCCTGAATATTAATGGGAATGACACAAAAAGAACAAAAAAACCCTGACTCATACAGCATGTTCCGACAATAATTCCTGTATCTCCTTGGCCTTGACCTTTGCCATGACCTTCACCACGACCTTCACCACAAGCATCGCCGCTACCAGTCCCGAGACCCATTCCAAAATCTGAAAATAATGATTTGTTTAACATTAAACCGCAGCAAAAATGAAAGATAAAAATGAAGTACATGCTTATTTGTACGGAATACCGTTAGGGCCATCGTGGTTATCCATTATAATCCAGAGGGCGACAATGCGACAGTGCGATAGTGCGATGACGACAATACGACAGTGTGAATGCGATAGTGCAATGGCGACAATGCGATAATAGAATGGCGACAGTGCGATAACACGATGACAATAGTGCGATAATGCGATGGCGACAATACGATAGTGCGATAATACTATCGTGTTGTCAACGTCGTGGTATCGTACTGTCGACATCGCGTTATCGCACTGTCGCATTATTGCACTGTCGTCATCGCGCTGTCACCATCGCAATATCGCATTGTCGTCATCGCACGGTCGTATTGTCGTCATCGCACTATCGCACTGACACATTGTCGCCCTCTAGATTATAAAGTATAACCGCGATGCCCCTAACGGTATTTCGTATATTTGTTAGTTAGTAGTTCACGGAAAAGAAATCAAAGCAATAAGTTACTCTATGTATCTAAACATATAGTCTTTATAATACTGCCATTTGTAACGTCGCTTTTCATTGGATAATCGTGACGTTTATATAGTTTTATATACACGGCTGCTGTCGATTCATAAAGAAATCTTACTTTTTTCTCTAAAAAATGATGTTTTGCTGTATTATAAATTCGTTATAAATATTGTTGATATGTTATATGGCCGTATATAGGGCCATATAACCTGTCAACAATCTTTATAACTAATAATATAACGGCCGCTCTCAGTTTATTAAGTAATTTCATTTTTACTCAAATTAACGAAGTTCGTTGTATAATAAAATTCGTTTTGAAGGATTAATAGGTTATATGACCGTATATAAACAGTTATTTGCAATATAACCTCCGACTAGCGACTCGGGTCATTTATGCAAACTACCGTTTTTATTATTAGTTATAAAGATTTTTGACAGGTCATATGACCCTATAAAAACTGTTGTTAGGAAATATAATCCGAGCCGCTATTTATTTATTATCACTTACGCAAGTTCTATATAAAAAATCCTCTTTAAAATCCTGAAATGTTTTGTATTTGCTCTAATTATTTCTTAATTACTTTTTTTGAATTTTCAGAGTTTTGATAATCGCAATTTAAGTTACAACTATCAATGTAATGTCCGTTTCTAATTAACTATATTTTGGCAACGATCTACTAAAGTAAGGTTAACTAAGTAGAAAATTAAATATTTTGTATGCGCCTAATACCTAATATTATCCAATAGTAAAACGTTGAAATGGTCTTTAAATTTTACTATGTCTAAAAAATTAAAGCCGCACAACTGAAATGGCGGTGTTATTAAAGCGGCGTTCATGTAGAATGAATATAAAGTGTTTTACTTAAAATTTCGTAATAAAGGTTGGGAATATGAGAAAATAAATCAGCTTGACCAATAAATTAGTTTAATTTTACTTTTTTAAATAAACATTATGGCACTCTTTAAAACATTATGTACATGGTGATGTACTATTTACAATTCAAAAATATAAGTTCTGTTCTGTTCCTTACAACATCACTTATGCAATATAACATTTTTGCATATTTTATCCCCCCCCCCCAAGGGAGGCATATTGAAATCTCACCGTCCGTCCGTCTGTTTGTCTGTCTGTCTGTGCTTCCCCACTTCATTCGTGTCCGGACTGTAACTTTGTCATGCTTTGAAGGGTTTTAGAATAACTTGGCACAAATGTCTACCACACCAAGACGATGTGTCGCGTCCAAGAGTCACATACGTGCCTCAAAGGTCAAGGTCACACTACCATTTTGAAGTTCACTTTATCATAATTAAAGTTTTTAGATACACACATTGGTGTCCGAACTGTAACTTTGTCAAGCTTTGGAGAATTTTAAAGTAACTATGCATAAATGTCAACCACATTAAGACGACATGTCGCCTTCAAGACCCCTGTCCCTGCCTTCAGGGTCAATGTCCAATTATGATTTGAAGGTACTCATTGTCTCGAGAAGAGTTTGAAAATAAACATTCATGTTCGGACTGTAACTTTGTCATGCATGTAAGGATTTTAAAATAACTTGGCACAAATGTCTACCACATCAAGATGACATGTTGTGTGTAAGACACATGTGCCAACCTCCAAGGTAAATGTCACACTAATAGTTTGAAGGTATTCATGCTCATAAGAAGAGTTTGAAGGAACACATTTGTTTCCAAACTGCAATATTGTCATGCATTGAAGGATTTCCACATCAAGCTGTCCAAAGGTATTAAGTTTGCTATAAATAACACTTCATTTCACAAGAACAATATAAAGCGAATAGTTACTTTCATTCTCTTTTCTTTTGATAATACCTGCATGCTTAAGAAACCTTTTCGGGGACAGTCGTCACTTGCGTGACAGCACTTGTTTATTATAAATAGCACTTCATTTCACAAGAACAATATAAAGCGAATAGTTACTTTCATTCTCTTTTCTTTTGATAATACCTGCATGCTTAAGAAACCTTTTCGGGGACAGTCGTCACTTGCGTGACAGCACTTGTTTATTATAAATAGCACTTCATTTCACAAGAACAATTTTTTTTTAGTCTTAAGCTACACCGACGCCGTAAAAGGAAAATAGCGACTTTCCTTCATAAAATATAAGAGGAAGAACTCGAGACAACCCCTGCCCTTTTCCCCCTTCCCATCCCTATATTATTTCCAGCACTATAAAGGACACATGAACTGTATCGCTGACCTGTCTTAAGCTACGTTGATCGTCACTCGAAATAATGCATTGTGGCGGGATTCATACCAACAACATTGAGAGACAAGAGATTCTAAATAACTGACCGTACCCTCACTGTCAGGAAAGCCTCTTGTAATGTAATTATTGACAGTGCATTACTGTGCTATATCATGAGATAAGTATATTTATTATAAGTCGTACTTGTGCATTTGGTGCTATAACTATAGAAAAAAGTCCATGATGTGATAAAATAATGAAACGAGAAACTTTAAGAAATTGAAGTTTTATATTCTTTTGATAGGTCTTAGTCTTAATGATGATGGTGTTGTTGTTGTTATTGCTGCTGCTGCTGCTGCTGATGATGATGATGATGATGATCATCATCATCATGATAATGATGACGACAAAAGCAAAAAACAAACAAAAAACAACAACAACAACAAAACCAAGCATTGTTCAATACTAGTATGTGAAATCTACAAGCGAGCCGCTTTAATTACTTGAACATGATTTACCATGTTATAGATATAATTTCGATCGGCTTAACGCATTATGATAATCAGCGTAATGTTTATTATTTATTGTATTGTATTATATGTTTCACCTTAACGGTTGAAATTGTACCATTAACCGACTATATGGCGTATGCCTTACTTATGTCGACATTATATAATTATATTGAGTGAGCAAACACGCCGGAGAACCGGAAGTTTTTAGACAGTGTACTTTAAATCCAGGGGCTATCAACCGATTTTATACTCAATACTTAAATCCAATCGCTGCTTCTGATTTTTGCGACGGACGCGCCCTCAGGCGCGTTCAGAGCTATGTCATCTACACATGGGATTTCGTTGGCTTCAATCGCGCAATGTGTCCTCAACCGAGTAACAGCCCACGAAATAGTACATGAATTTGATCCTATGAAATTCCCATACTTCGTCGGGATATCTTAAAAACTTCCATATTTAGCCTTTTCAATTTCAAATTAAGTTATCCAAGTTAAAATATAAACGTATTTGATTGATAAAAACGCTGTAGCCCCGTAGTATTATTAGTAAATTATGCTATAATTAAGGAGTAAGCTCAATAATTCATAGAAATTATAAGCAGGAAATAAATATTTCCCCATTAAACAAAACATTTTTATTAACAGATCAAAAGTTTTTCGTGACTTTAGAATAACTCGCGCATTAATAAAAGAAGAACTCTTTTCGTGACTCATACCGCGGGTTTAGCTGAATATTCAGCAGTTATTAATAAATTAGACTACAGTACAATGGTTAGTATTATAAATATCTATTTTTGAAAATGCATGTAACAAGGGAGTTTTTCAACACTTTACCACCATATAGTCTTTCATGGTAATCTTTATTGAAGGAAGTTATAATATCAGTTCTACTTCCGATTCTTGTGTTTTGTTTACATAGTTTTCTAGGTCACGATATGAGTTAACCTGCTATGAGATTATGATAGCCAGAAGATAACACTATTCGTAAAATAGATTCTGCATCATCTGTGCTGACTTTCAGACGAGTACACATTATACATGTAATAAACCAGCGGATACTTACTTTGTTTAGTTGAAAATGGAATTTAGTGTGAAATTGAAAGGGACAGTGCTTAAGTGACGTAAATGAAAAAAAAATCTAAAAAAAAAAAACACCATTAATTGCTGATGATTTTAACCAAAATATATTTAATGAGACATATCCAAGAGAAATAAAAATAAAAATACAAATCACTTATATTTTATTGTCTACATGCCCACTATGCTATAACACGCAGCAATTCTAATTAACACTCTCACGTGTATTGAGTATTATGATTGAAGTTTATTTGCATGGTTTTATTTTAGACAGTTTTTTTTTTCTATTTACATATCATTTCTTGGAATAAATCGATAAGGACACTGATTTACAAGTTTGACCAGAGTTTTTAGGCATAAATTTCATTCTGTATTTAAAAATTTGGACTTGTTCTGCTTGAAAGTAGAAAATCTGAATTATATCAGAATGGGACACATAAAATATATTGCTCTACAAATCTCGAACTTGTATGGAACAAATTTTCTCTGTTATATCTTTTGTGTGTGTTTTTTTTTTTTAAAGCCATAATGTCTCTCCGGTTGCATGTCCGTCGCATTCAGTGCTGCAGCACTTTGATTTGTAACGTAGTGGCCGTTTAATATATTTCCTCTATCGAACACTTCAAGATCCATTACTATTATACCCTGGATTAGACTTTGTTCGAAGTGAATGTGTAGGCAAGCACACGATAAAAATAAATAAATAAATAAATAAATAAATAAAAAATAAATAAATAAATAAATAGCTCCAAGGTCGAGGTCACGCTTAAAGGTCAAAGGTCAACAGTTAGAAAATCTTGTCTGTCCCGTAACTCTATCATGCGTCAACAATGTGTAGCATAATGACACAGTTTGTCAGGCGCAACACCTATACCCCTAAACACTAAGGTCAAGGTCACCCTTTAAGAAAGGTAAAATGTCAGCAGTTTGAAAATTTTTGTCTGGCCAATGTCATATATCAAGATATTTTGAAATAACTTGGAATGGTCTAGAACCATATAACTCTAAGGTAAAGGTCACACTTAGACGGCAAAAGTCAGCATGCAGCAAGTGTGAATGTTAAAAAAACTGTTTTTATCATCAGCCATTTAAACGGTCTTTTATAGCTAAAATATTTCTTTTTTTTTCGTTGTTCCAATATATAACGGGTTCATTCATGTCTTTCAGACGCATTTCTTGTAAATAAATGCTGGGACAAAAATATTTTATTATTTTCTTGTACCAGATAAATGTGATAAAATTATTTGAAAGGAATATAACATGGCCAGCGACAATAATTATAGCTCCGTGACTGGTATACGTTGTGTTGTACATAGATGTTTTCTCATTCCAGTCAGATGACAAACTAAATCAGGGAGATATTTCAGTAGATACTGATATAATTTATAAACTTAGTTACTTCCCTTACATTAAATAAGAAGGTTTAATGCTATCACTAATATTTAGTACTTTGAAAGAAATTATTTTTTCTGTTTATCAAACATCTAAACGTTTTACAAATGAAATTATTTGTTTTCTTTGTCTTGATGGGTACTTATATTACATAAATCCGTGCTTGGGATGAATTGACCGATCGCCGTATTCGGAGAGGTACGACACTTATGGTTTTTAGTGTGCTCTAAATTTTGGTACGGTACCAAACGGCAATTAATATATGCAAATTTACTAGAATTTTTATTTTTTGTCTGTTTGAAGCAAAATAAATTTTACTCAGTGTAATTCATAACTTTTGTTGTATTAATTGAAGCACATTTATGCTGATAGTTAAAATTTTTTGAATATCTTTTTGAAAAATCTAAATCTCGCGAGATTACACGTTCACTGTTTTTCAGCCATTTTTGAGTTGTCTGCTCATTGCACAGTGCTCTCAAGCACTATTTTCTAGAAAAAAGTGCAGCAGGAAATTCATTCATCACAATGGAAAAATACAGCAAATTTGGCATTTTGTTCTCACGTTCCACGTGCATATTTATTGCAATGGTATGAATTTCAAACTTATTTTGACTTCCATGTGTTCTGTCAAAATTATTTTGACATGTGGCGAAACATAAACAAACCGGAAAAAACGAAACAATATGACTGTTGGGGCATATGATGGTCATGATTTGAATAGTTGCATTGAGGCATACTCGCATTTTAAAATTGTATGTCTGTGATAATGAAGGTTGTATTGAAATATCCGCTTGAATAAAATTTTAGTGATTTAAATTGGACAGGAACGATGAGGAAGAAAATTATCGAGGGACACTGTAGTCCAATAGATTAGACAGGCTTGTTATAGTTTTATGTTGGTCAAGCCTGACGTCTAATAGTTATTGCTCATAAACGTGTAGCATTTTGAAAAATTAAAAAATGTCTTTTGACTTGCCTTTCAAGCTTTATTCAAAAGCTTATCTTCTGTTCTTTCAATTGCATGGTCTATCATTAACAAAAACTTTCAAACAATGTACTTATCAATTAAATGTAAAATAATATGAAATTAGGTGCTACCTATGGCGCGGAAAGCTTTTATGAATTATGATTTTAGCATAACATGTTTAGTGTACATGTAAATGCAGGTATTTTGTACCGTAAACAAAACGAATAAATTGGTGGTGTTCAACCTATCATCGGGGCGCCTGAAAATCTCCGAAAGTAAAGGGGGGCCACTTCGCATGCGTCGGCGTTTGGAAAATTCCTGCCGCCATTTTTGTTAATCTCTAATCACAGTTATTGCTTTAACGTTATTTTTTAATGTGTTTATTCTCAAAAAGGATACATATTTATAATCGTCACTATAGTTTAATTAATGAAATGCATGTTTATTTTCTGATTTTGTACATCATTCTTTCACCGGAAGTGTTATTTAGCATGCGTCTGCTAGCAATAGTCTGACTATGTAGACGCTCATTGAAAGCGCTCTGATATCTATATTTAGCTCAAAATGGCGGCGCCCAGTTAACTAAGGATTTTTTCACAGCTCATTAGGTTTAGGATATATAAATTTTTTGAAATTTCCATTTACTTTTAATTTTATTTAATTTGAAATGATACGCGTCATACATGTTATCTAAGAGAGCTACAGCCCTCGCGGAGCCTTCGGTCCCGCTCGGACTTTCCACGTATAAATATCAGTCTATTTCGCTCATCGGCCATACTGGTTAAGTAAAGCGTTTTACAGATTGATTCCAATTTTTTGAACGGAAAAATATATTCGAACACACTGACGGTGCATGGGCAATTATTTCGTTGAAAAAATATTCCGTTAGAAACTTCTGGACTCATTTAAACGCTTGCATTTGAATTAGCCAATCAGATTTCGCGCACTGTATGGCGGCCATTTGTATATCGGCTGTACAAGGAATTTAATTAAATAAGAGGATTTAATCATGACTTTTCGGATGTGACAGTTTAATTATTTTGTTAAAAGGTATTTATTTTTTAGTTTTGTTCATAAATAGGTCAAAATTAATGTAAATACACGCTGTTTTAATTGTTTAAATTCATTAGATCTAAATCGATGTCTAATGTCAATTTTTTTGCTACACAATTTTGCAAAGATCTGTTAAGACCTAACGTAACATGGAAAATGAAAAATGTAAAATATCAGATTAATGAATGATAAATATGAAAAAGGTTACGTATAGGTCTTATATTTAAGTTATAATTAGGATTAGGGACACTGATGTGTTTTTATGGAGACATAATTCACTGCGTCCCTAGGGTCAGACTCTGCCTCCCCCCATCAATGTGATACACTCCTGTAAACACTGTAAAATCGAACATTTGTAACAACAATAAAACTGGTTATCAAACTAATGTCCCATAATTAAAGGAAGTGGCTAGCCTTATGGGCAAGTTCGACTTCCCAATAGTTCTAGCGGGTGAGAGTGGTTTCGCCAACTACAGGTTCGGCGAACTGATCTTATAATATAAAACAGGTAGTGGTTTCGGCGAACTTAATTTAATCAATTGTATTATGGGAACGTCAATTATCGGGTGTCGTAATGTGTGGTTTACTTAGAACTTTTGGCTAGCCGTATGAGCCATACATACATGTACCCGATTTAGTTGACAATTTTCACCAGTTCTTTGAAGCTAAAATGCAGCTGGATGACTAAAACTGACTTCTCAAAGAGTAAAAGCTGTCATACATTTACTTGACATTCACATGTGTGTGATATATAATAAATAGATCTTTCTAAAAAATTTCTTTTACAGACTCTGCTTTTATGTCATGGAACAAATGGAGAAACCTTACAGCTTGGTGGAAGTAATTTCAATAATATAATCTGTAAGTAGAAATCATTCATGCTTGTAAAAGAATTGTTTGTTAATTTGGTTTGATTGATTTCTATGACATTTCATTTACTTTTTTGGGTTGGTCCGGCTATCGTTGTTTCTCTAGACATGTAACATCTTGTAAATACTGTACATAGTGTTTTTTTTTGCACCATTACCCTGCCCCAAAAGCACTGTAAATAATACAAATTTCTCTGCATGTGACCGTCTATTAATTTCACATGATTTCTGAATTAGCACATGATGAAATACAAATTTATGACTGTTAGGCTCAATTGTCCCAGAGAAATATTGCCTTGTCTGAAGATCGAACCAGCTACTCTATGGTTAAAAATCTGATGCTCTTCCTATAGGTGGACCTATATTAGTTCATTTTTCAAGTGAAATGGAGGTATGAATGTTGAACTGTTACGGGGCTTCTTTTAGTGGACGTTTGGGAGTCCTTTACTTCTTGACTTGGCTTGTGACTTCCAAAATGTAATGCCTTTCCTTCTTTACCTATACAATGTCATTAGTGTGACTTCCAATGTCAGAGGTTTTTACAGATTCTGACTTCCAACGTAACTTAATGGAAGCCCTGTTAATAATGATATCACTGTTAACAGCAATTGTTATGGTAGCCTTCCTCAAAAAAATGTTATGAGAGATTTGATTGTTTATTATTCATTCACTTTTTTCAGCTACTCACGAAATTGTGTTTGTTAATTTTTACGCTGATTGGTGTAGATTTAGTCAAATCCTTAAACCGGTTTTTGAAGAAGCTGGAAAGAAAGTGAAGGAACTTTTCCCAGTAAGTGAACTTCAATTTTAACAATCTTAGATCTATGTATTCACTGATCTGTACTGTAATTTAGTTAATTTATTTTTAATACCATTGCTGATATTTGGGCATTTTTTTGTACACGTCTTTCAGTGTTCCCATTTTCTTCTTGATTTATAATAATGATTTGCTCCTAGTAGTCAATTTGCAAAAGCTTTGGATTTATTATTATCTTAATGAACCATATAAGATTTATCTTTACATATTTCATTAGTCATTGAATTTAAGATTTTGAATTTACTGGCCGAATTTCAGTTTTGAATTTATCTTTTTATATATTTAACTAAATTTTCTTAAATTTACACTGGCCCGAACTAATTTTCACTGGCCATGGGCCACTGGGCCAGTGCTAAATCCGATGACTGTTTCATAAACAAATCTTCACAAGTTGTTAATTTGTTTCCTCTAGGAGCAAGGCAAAGTGGCATTTGGGCAAGTGGATTGTGATAGTGAGAGTAAGTTTTTTCAGTTTGTACAACCTCAAGAATTGGGAATTTGTACAATGTTTTAGTAAAATTGGGAAAAACTGACAACATATCTTATACATGTCATCAAATAAGACAGAGAATTCAAATACAGTGGAGCCTTGCTAATCCGAACCCTTCTAATCCGGAATCCTTTCTTATCCGAACGAAGTGTCCGGTCCCGATTTTATTCGTTCTATTTTCAATAGTAAAAAACCTTTCGGATCCGGAACCTGTCTACTCCGAATACCGGACGATTTTTTCAACTTTTGTTCTTATTTTACTCTAAAATTTACCTCTCGGATCCGAACAGATTTTGCCAAATGTCACACCTTAATTCAAAATAACAAATAACCGCACATCTTGCTGGTGTTATTTCGCTTGATTAATGGGTGAAACGTATGATCTGCGAAGGTGTGAAAATTACACTTAGCTTGCCTTGATATCTTCTATAATTGCTTAATTGATTGTTTTTCGTCATCTTCTATAAATATTTTGATATAATGCAATAGAAATATCTTTTAATCCTTTGTATGGGATTCAATGATACGTGATTAACCCATTGCTTCATGAGCATTTTGTGAAAAATGGCTGTTTTCATTGAAAAGTCTCCCGTTACAAGTTCAAATTGCTATAATACTATAAAAACTGCTTCAACACTAATCAAACTTGGCACAAATGTTGACTGGACCATTGTCCTTGCAACAACATGCTCAGACTTAAATTTTCTGTTACCATGGCAACGAGGGGACATCTCAAAATTGCCAAAAATCACTATTTTGCGTTGATTTTTTCCATCAAAATTGATTTCAAAGTGCTGCAACTTATCAATGGATTGAGATAGAGTCAAATGCTTTTCAGCGTTGGTTACACGTTACCTTATGATCAATCTGGGGTCATTTACAGCCTCTCACAAGTCCAAAATTTTCTTGGCGATGAGGGGGACTCCGCCCCCCTTCAAACCCCCCAAAACAGAAGGGGGCACATCCCCCTTCTGGCAACCCCCTGATGTATCTTTTGGTTGGGGGGCCGCGCCGAAAAAGAGGTCAATTTTTTTAACAACATTTCTTAAACAAAAACAAGTGTTTAGGGCCTAAATAAGGCATTTTTTCATCATTTGAGACAACAAAAAGGGGGGGGGGGTGAAAAAGGCGTTAAAAGGCGTGTATATGAAGTAATGGGTTAAGTAATGAAAATTAATGGAAACTGTCAGTGAATTCGGATAGTCGCTGAATCGGATAAGAGTAAACAACAATTAACAAATGCTGGTAAGAATATCTAATCATGTCTCGGCCTCCTGTTTAACATCGTAGGTTAACTTAGCCATGAGGACATCATATTTTTGCTTATTTATTTATTTTTATTTCTTTATTTTTGTATTGACATGTATTAAAATGAACAATAAGAGACTGCAAAAATAAAATATCTAAATTGCTATTTCAGATGCATTCCCGTTTTCTTTCCTTAAACTATTTTGCAAAATAACATGAAAAAAAAACATGTAAAAAAACTTTGTAATTCGGAAACCCTTCTAATCCGGAAACCTTTCTAATCCGAACTTTTCTTCTGGTCCGGACGAGTTCGGATTAGACAGGTTCCACTGTATTTGGTTATTTAATATCCTCTTATATCTGACTCATTAGCAGACATTATAATTTTGAATGCAAGATCACAATTTTCTATGGCACAATGAAGTTAAATATAAGAAAGTGACACTTTTTGGCATTGGCAGCATGTCCCAATATCAGCCATCAAAATGTGTCAGAAAAAAACCTTGCAACTTTTGGAGAGGCAAACTTGACTTTCTCATAAATTATTTTGAAAAACACTCTTTAAACAAATATTGATTAATGGTCTATTGCATAAAATATTTATTCCCAACATGAACAAATATTGATTATAAATGGTCTATTGCATAAAATATTTATTCCCTGACTTTACTAGAGGTTAAATCCTCTGTTTTCAAGAGTTAACTTATTGACATACTTGATAAGATATTGGTAATGGTTTGATATATATATTTTAATCATAAAAACTTAAAAGTTTTTATGTCCAAAATAAAGACATTCTTAATTGAAGAAATACCTGCATCCAGATCCATATTCTATATATAATTGTATCATAGTTTGGGGACCTTCCTGTTGAAAATGTGTCGGAGATAAATCGTATACCGTATATCAGTGATTAATCTAGATGTGCGTCCTGCGTAAAATACGCATAAAAATAAAAAAAGACGCACAGTTTCAAAATATGTGCGTTCAATTTGATGCATGCAAATCAGGTGGTTTATAATCAAAAATATCAATTTCTTTAGTTGAATATTTTAATTTCCGATGATTACAGGTGCAAGACTAATCCCCAATTTGCTTGAAACGTTAAATCCCTGCAATCGGTAACCGCCCATTATCGGCATTAGCCAATCAGAGCGTCCATTTTGCATGAGAGGGAATCGCCTACAATGGTGAAATATGCAGAGATCTGCCTGCGCCATTGGCGCTAAAAAATGAGAATGGCAGTGTTCGACACTAACGCAGTCCCGCGGTCCCGAGGACTCCAAAAATTGACAAGGGTTTCTTAAGTTCCAAGTCAGATGTCCCGTTGGGACTTTTAAGTTTTTAAATAAAAAATATACTAAACAATTAAAATTGATCATTAATCAACTTTAAAGTATTCATTTAAGATGGTAATCTTGCAAAAAAAGTATTTATTAAACGTGATAAACTTGCAAAAAGCAAACCGGAAATGAAACATTGTTTACAAAATACGAAAATTCTCCACATACCAAACATTCCAATGTCAGTATTTTCCGATATGTTGCTGTATTTTCAACCACCATAGTAAAAATGATATGTTTTATATAGTTTTGTTTAATATTTGATGTTACTATTATGTTAGAATACTTATACCGTGGAAAAAGTCGGCAATTCCATAATCAATAGTGTACAAGATTTCGGATAAACACATTCGGATGCGTGATTTTTGGGGATTTTTTAAAAATATTTTGTGATTATATTTTAAATGCAATAATAATAACTTGTTCCTGTCTTATCATGGCATTGATATCATTATGTAAAGGAATTATGAGCAAAAAAGCTTTTTTGCAGTAACTCATTTTCTTCTCTTCAATGACTAATTTACACTTATTCAAGTAGACCTAATACAGCACTATTATAATATCAAATGAAAATTACTTACTGCATAACTACAGACAAAGGGACAAAATAAATTATATTTATTGAAGTCAGTAATATTTAGGACATATTTTACAAGACCTATAAACACTTCCAACTGCATGTATGATTTTGTTACCAAACTTAATAATGCTGGAAGGAAACATAGAGGATTTCGTTCCTTCATCACTTAATGTTATCACAGATCCATGTGCTATGATCAACATTCCAAAAAGTAGAACGAAAGAACAATAAAAATAAGTTGCACATCAATTTTGATAGACAAAGGTTATTGCTTTATTCTTAAAATTATATAAAAAATAATCAGGGACTTCCGACTTAGGGAAGGGACTTTTGAATTCAAAAACAGATGTCCCGTTGGGATTCCTGGCTGAAAAGTTAGTGTCAAACCCTGGAATGGCACAGGAAAATCGTCAGCAAAGGGCCAAGGGTGCATCTAAAATCTGTGTCAGACTTATATTGTATGTTATTAAGTCATCCAGACAAAACTGGTACCAACAGCAACAGGTTACCCATTCCCCTGTACTTACGCATATTCTTGAGTTTATCCATTTCCCTATAGCATTTTTCCAAGTTATCTACTTACCTTATCTCTTTCCCACACAGATAAGCATTTCTACTACCGTAAATTTAATCCAATAAAGCAAACAAAAAATCATTAATCTACTTAATATTTTAAATAAATATCAGTAAATGAAAAAAAAGTGTTGCTATTTTAAGAAATGCTGTAAGTTACAGTATAATCTGACAGGTGTGTAAATTGAATTCCCCTAGGGTCACTCAAGTTCACGCGGAGTGTAACAAAAAAAAATGTCTATTACGTCATCAAAATATTTGACAGGGCGATTAACCAATCAGGGAAACATTGTGCATGTCTTTTTTTCTTGATCAAAAGGTCTGTCTGTGTATGCTTTCTACACAGAGGCATACAAGGAGCAATAAAAGTCGTCAGTATGTATACAGTGTGATAGGGGCATTTTGTGCAAATTACGAACAATTAAAATGGATAATGCACAGTATTAGACATAAGTAGTAAGAAAATATAAATTATGCAAATTAGATTTTTCAGCAGCCAATAAAAATTGTTTTGCCTGTAATTAATATTAGTACCAAAAATAACTTTTTTATACAATTTAAATACTTAATCGCTTGTTATAAAACATGCAAATCATGTCAAGGATCTGCTATTAAAAAAAAAATTCTGCTAAGACGCATTTATTTTGCTACATGACTCATTGAATTTTGCTAAAGGACTCATTGTTTTCAAACATGTGCGTCATCCGACGCATTGTAAGGATTTTTCTAGATTAATCACTGGTATATACATGCACAGTGTGTTAACTAGAGTGCAGGTATTAGTTACCTGCACTCCAGAGCATGCCAATTGATTGGCTCATTTTTGCAGGGGTTTACTTATTGTGACAGCAGAGAAAGGGAAAGCGATAGAAATATTATATTCAGATGCTCGTTCATTGGTTACATTTTTCTGGGGTTTCGTATTGTGACTACATGGAACTTGTTTTTATGTTTGGCTATGACTAGAACATAAAAACACTCGGCAAACTGATTAATACTCCTATGGTTTAATATAGATTTTCTATACATATTCTATGGTCCAAGGAATATAATACAGTGAAAGTTGAGAAAACCGGACGGCTTTCGGACCGAGGGTTTTGTCCGGTTTTCTCAGCGGTCCGGTTTTCTCAATGTACCGAGCAGTGACTTACAACGGATGCTGTATATTTGCATTTTCATGATCATATGTACGTAAATTGCTAAAGAAATTATAAATTACAAATTAACATGTTTTATTTATTTTTGTCACTTTATTGCATCTAAATACTTTAAAAGTTTGATTGAAAAAGAACAGCAGTTACCTCATAACGATACAGTCCTATTACATTCGCACATGTTTACATTTGGGTACTGGATAATGATTTAACGAACATAGTTTACTTTGTTTATTTTTAATAATGCCCCCCTTCCACTGTAAATATTGCCGATGCCTTATTAAAAGTTTCACTGTCTTTAATTGGTTCAACTTTGTCACTTATAGACAGCTATCGTCGAATTCTTTTGGTGATGGAATAGAACTTGGCGCCGATAAATGTCTTTTCCGTTGCTTTGATATTTTGGGAAATGAATATACAAAAGCAACGCAGTATAAAACTACTCATTTTTTTATTCATACTGATTTTAACTTACCAATTCCTCGTACGTGTTGGCATATATAAAACGGTAAAATCTATATCTTACAATAATTCAAACTGTGAAAACGGACATAATAAACAAATCAGACAATCGGTGTCCCATTACCGCTCAGTTTGCACTTTTGACTAGTACGCAAGGTTATTCACACCTTTGCAAAAGGTTATTCACACCTTCGCCGTCCGGTATTGTCAGGGTAATTAACCATCCGATATTCGGTTTTTACAGATTCCGGTATTGTCAATGTTTAATGCAAAAGTTTAACGAAGGTAAAATTTGGGACTGAATTAATCGTCCGGTATTTAGAGAGTTCCGATTTTCTCAGCGTCCGGTTTTTTCAACTTTCACTGTAAAAGGAAAATAATATGAGTATTCTAGTGTATGGAGGATGTTATGATAACTGTTGTTGATTGCGTTTAAGTTGAGATTAGTATTTCTTTGCATGATGCCAGACTCTTTAAAATACAAATTTACCCATCTGTAGAAATACACACGTTTGTGTGATTCTCTGTATACAATTATTCATAATATTGTTTTTAAATCAGTGTCTATTCTAGGATTCGAAAATCGGAAGATTTTATTGAAAAGTGAGAATTTGTAACATTTGTTGATCTTTTTTCTTCTTTCTCTATGTAAAATTTTCCCCCTGCCTCTGAAAAAATAGTAGGGAATTCTCAAACATGATGAGTCAATCCCCCCAAAGCCACTTTCCTAGAATAGACACTGCTTAATTCTATTATTTTCTCATCTTGAAAATGCATAAACTTTAATTTAGTTGTAATACTTTTTCAGATGGTATTGCTACCTTATACCATATATCAAAATACCCAACATTAAAGCTGTTCCGTAATGGGCAAGCGGTTAAGAAAGAGTATAGGGGTCAAAGGTCAGTGGATGCCCTTGCAGATTTCATCAAAAATCAAATAGAAGACTCGATTAAACAACACACCACAATGGACGAGCTAGACGAACTAGAGGTTTGTTTATTTATTCTTGGTTCTTAGTTCTTGTTTTGTTAGTTTATGTTTTGTTAAAAGGTTTTAGCAGTTTTTCATGGCTAATTTTGGGTGAAAATTTATTCCTACTTCCCAGTTAAAAAAAACACACTAAGCATGGATGAGCTGATTTTCTCCTCTATGGAAAAGAGATATTTCAAGCATTTACTGAACTTGAATAACGAAAGGGAAGAATAAAAGACGTCTCTATGGTTGAATTGTTAAGGTAGCCAGCTTTCAAAGTTTCAGTAATACCAAACAAAATAAAATAAAAAATAGAATTTAAGAAAAAAAGTATCAAATTCATTCAAATATGAGACATTTAGATTTTAATTAGATTACTCATTTCTTTGAAGAACACAAAGAGGAACGTAATTGGGTTTTTTGATGACAAGGAGACAGATTCTTATAAAACATTCCGTCGTGTTGCCATGCAACTAAGAGATGATTGCATGTTTCATGCAGCAATAGGGTAAGATTTGAAGATTCTTTTTCTTTATTTCGCGTTTTAACCTGATAGTAACATAGGAAACTGTATGGTTAAAAAAAGTAAAAGCAAGTTGAGTTTTTGCTATAGTTGCTTCTGGAGCAGCCCTAAATGTTACAGAATTACAACAAACCGTTCATAAATATCTTGCTGGCAAACAGGAAAATACTTGACTTTAACGTTGGGAATCGAAATTTAAAACATTTATATAATACACAGAGATACATGTATATAATGGAGATAGGTACATGTACATGATTTTGTTCTCGGTATAACTTTTCTTTACACTTGTATATTTTGTTATATTACAGTGAGGTGTCTAATGGAGAAAGAGCTGGTCTCAGCACAAAAGTTGTATTCCGTCCACCACATGTATGTTGATGTTATTATTACATTATTTCTTAAAGCAGCATGCCTCCAGATTCATGCATATTTTCATGTAAATTTTGAAAATATTTTTGAAAGTAAAGTATTGTGAAGTTATAAAAAGAAGTAATTTACACACTTTACACACATGTAAATTAACAAAAATAGATCAAAATATGCAAATAAAGCCCCTGCTGCATTAGCAATTCAGTATAAATATGGTGATAAATATAGCAAAATCAGTATTTAATCACACATAACATGTAAATTATCACTTTAATCCTGAATCCTTTTACTTATCTTAAAATCTTGTACAATTTTAAATTTTCTTGAAATATTTTGGTTCATCTGGAGGCATGCAGCCTTGAAGTTATAATCATTTGCTAATTTATGACAAATTGGCTTTGTAAGGTAATTTCTGAGAGTGCATGGTCTGCAGAACTTGTGTTTTAGATTTAACTGAGACAGGTACAACTGAGATTAGCTCCATAGGGAGAGTATCTGATTTGTAATCCAGGGTAACTGGTTGAATTCTCAGTTGAGGTGAAATATATGAGATAATTGATTTTAGACATTCAGTCTATTGGCTGTTTGTCTCTTACTGCTGATTCAGAAATCATGTGATTAGTAAGTTCCCTTGCGGAGAAATTGGTTATTACTGGTAAGTTACCCAGGAAAGCAGGTTGGTGGACAGATCAGCACAAAAATGACCGAAAAGTGTGTTTAAAATCAGTGAAAAATGAAAAAAATCCAAACAAACTAAAGTGTCTATATACTATTATTAAGATGCAAGCGCTTCATTTTAATTTTCTGGCATGATGAGTTAACAATCATATGCCTGAAAATCATACATGAAGAAATTGGTTATTTGTATATTACACTTGATTAAAGAAAATATTACATGCTTATAATTATATTCTCCCCACACACGAAGGTTTATGGTATCTTTTTTTGCAGACTAGAAGAGAAGATGTTGCATATACTGGAGAGTCCAACAATTATGATATGATGCTACAGTGGATGCACGACAAGTGTGTGCCGCTTGTTAGAGAGATTACATTCGAAAATGCTGAGGTATGTTGACTTAGTTGAAAGCTAGTTAATGAAAGGACAGTGGGTTATACTTACGTGTTCATTATTTCTGTATGAAAATACACTTACTACTTCAATAGGCAGTAAATAAAGAAATCAATGTATAATGATATTGTACGTGTTATAATTTTCCTTCTTAGAAACTATAGATTATTTTATGTGAGGCAGCTATCCAGCTAGCATACGCCAAAATCAGAGTTTTTCTAATCATGTGCCCACTCAAGCCTGAAATGATGCCTAAAGACACACCTAAGGTCTTCCTTCACAAGTAGAGCTGAATGGTTCAATATGACATTACATTGTGTCTTTAAATCTAACAAGCAAATAAGAAAATAATAATCAGCCCCCAGAATATAGGTATATTGAAGAATATTACAAATGAAAATGATAAATAGGTCAGTTTCAAAGAAATGTATAGAAGTTGTTTAAGACAACAAATGTCTAATTTTATACTATCATTACAGGAATTGACAGAAGAAGGGCTGCCGTTTGTTATATTATTCCACAAATTAGAAGATACAGAAGTTGTCACAGCATTTAACAGAATTGTACAGAATGAATTATTAGGGGAAAGAAGTAAGTCTCTATCAAGTCTGTTATACACAAGTCATTTTTATCCAGAGCCTTATTTTATATAATACAAGGAAACTTGTATCTCCAGGCCCAATATAGCCCTGCAGGGGATAATCGGCTCGTACAATTTGTGCCAGTTCTACTTGGTAAGGCTGTATTTGCCTTCATAACATACTTTTCAATAGGCAGTGAAATTATACTTTGTAAATTTCACTGTGAAAATATAAAATATAATTTTCACAGTGAAAATATAAAATATTAAATAAATATAAAATATAATACTAGAAATGGCTGTTATATAGCTAATAACTTCCTCTGCCATGACAGCTGTACAAGTCTACTGATCAATAAAGCATGCCAACAAATGAGAGGTTGTTGTATACTATCAGTTTTTCACAGGAAAAACTTTTGGGGCTTCAAAAAATTAATACCCCCCCCCCTCCAACCCCCCTCCCCCAAAAAAAAAAAACCCCCAAAAAAAAAAAACCAGCATTACAATCATAAGAATAGGATTTGATAGTGTTTTAATAAGCTTAACATTATAGCTTCCAAAACAATCAAACTTTAAATAAACTGAACTAAATATTTATTGATTTTGTTTGTCTTGTGATTGTATTTCACAACACTTTTGTATTTCTGCCTAAATTGTCAAATTTATGTATGACTTGTCACATAATGAATGATTTTTTGTTTATTTTCAGCTAGCGTAAACTTTTTAACTGCTGATGGTACAAAGTTTTCACATCCTCTTCACCATTTAGGAAAATCAGCCAATGATTTACCTGTGTTAGCTATAGACAGTTTTAGACACATGTACCTTTTTAAACACGACGTCAGAAAAGATCTCGAGTAAGTGGCAAGAATTCTTATTGTGTTTCAGAATTTTGACTTCACTTTGGAAAGTTAGAGATATATATTGTGCACAAATTTGATGTTTTAAAAAAAAAAACGTAATTATAACTGTACAGTCTCTTTTAAAATGTACAAATAAACATCTTTAGAATAAACAAAGAGAAAATATGTTACGTTTTAAACTCTACACACTACAGGTAATCATAGTATAATTGCATATTGTCAGTAAAAAAAAAAAAATGGCAGTTTTTATGAGAATAGACCAAATTAATTTGACAAATAATAGAGAATGAAGCTTCCCAAAAATAGTTTATACATTGACTTTTTCAAATTAGACATATTCAGGAAGAATTTGATAGATTTGAATAAATTTCTGCAAAAGAAGTATTTTACCCAAAGATGGGCAGAGTAAATCTTAAAAAAAAAGTCAGCTGTGTTTCATAATGACATTATATATATTGTTATGCATACAGAATTGATTCCTTAGTAAGACAGGGGCATCCGTGGCCGAGTGGTTAAGGTTGTTGACTTCAAATCACTTGTCCCTCACCGCTGTGGGTTCGAATCCTGACAGGGACTTTGGATTCTTTCATGTGAGGAAGCTATCCAGCTAACTTACGGAACGTCCGTGGTTCTACTCAGGTGCCCGTTCGTGCCTGAAATATGCACTGAAGGGCACCTGAGGTCTTCCTCCACCAGTAAAACTGAAATGTCGCGATATGACTTATACTGTGTCGATGTGACGTAAAACCCAAAACAAAAACAAAAAAAAGAATTATTAAGACATGGTATATAGTATCAAATAACAGGAAGATTTATCTATCTTATAAAGGAATTAATCCGTTGAATAACCTATATTTGATTGTAATCAAAAAGTTTATATCAAATTGCAAGCCTCAATAGATTTAGAAATAAAGCAATATGAATATATTAGACTTTTCATCATATACTTAAAATAAGAAAAGTTTGCGGTAAAAAAAATTTTTCATTCACATACTCATACTGTAGCTCTAAGATTGAACCCAACTTTATGCTATGTTTGTATCATGTTAGTATATATATATGTAAATCTGTGTCATATAATTTTAACAGAGTTGCACTAGTACTCAGGGCAGGAAAAATCTGATTTTGACTTGAATGTTTGTTTTTATCTGAAACATTTCTAAACTTGTTCATTTGATAATAATAGAGTAAATGAATATAAATTTCCACTTATCTGTACAGACTGTGGGACAACCTGGACAATACGGCCAATTGATTTTGCTGTCCCTAGTACTTCTATTCTAGTATAGGATAAACATTAATCATATCATGTTACTTTTATCTTGCAGATCACCTGGTTTAGTGAAAGAGTTCATAGCAGATTTACACTCGGGCAAGCTTCATCGTGAGTTCCATCATGGTCCTGACCCGGTGGTGCAACAAGAAAAGCAAGTGGAACAGGTAAGCCGTTTTATAGTAATATATAGATCTTGTGATGGCACCATGCAGAAACTTTGTGAAACACTGCTTAGTGACAAATAGTTACTATGGAAATTTGAAACACTGCTTAGTGACAAATAGTTACTATGGAAATTTTTTTCTGTGATGACTAATTAATAGATTTGACCATTCTATATGGTTGACTTTTATAGAATCTTGTTAACAGTTAAGAATAATGAGGGCATTCAACATGCAACAACAAAAACACAAGAATTCATAACAAATTTCAAACAAGAATTGAAACATTAAATTTTATAATTATATTGCTTTTTAGCATTAATATGTTTACCATTGAATTTTAAGGAGTGATGTAAACATTAAAATTAGATAATTAGTAATTTTGAAACATATAATTTAAAAATAATGGGAAGCTGAATTCTTTGAACTGATATTCTTTATTGTGATTTAATTTGGTAACCTTAATTGATTTAAATTTTTGTTGGCCAAAATCCAAAACTATTATGTATAGTTCTTATAATTAAAAAAAAGATACTTTTGTTTCAAGAGAATTGTTTATATATATGAGGATCTATGTTGACTTGTCACTATTAGAATATTTACGTCAAGTGTATTATTGAATAAAGTTTTTTTTACAACACTTAAGTGATATGCTAATGAAATATAATGTATGATATTATATAATGGAAGATAAGTGATGTATATTTTAAACCAGCATACCTTTAGTTAATTGGCCTGTCTGTTTCGAAGAAAAGGTCAAATTATTATGATCACCGCGGTTTTGTCGTCAGCATTGTTGTGCTGCAAAAAAACTAAATGTAGCCCATTTTTCAAATATTTATAAAGTTATCAACATGAAAGATGGAATACTTGGTTATCATGACAAGGTGATGCTTTTAAACAAGGGGAATAATTCTGAAAGCAATATTTTTGGAGTTATGCTCCTTTTTAATGTAGAATTTTTAATTGCTCACAGTGCTCTTAAGATTTTTTTTTGACAAATCTACAATTTCTCTTTTCAATCTAGACCTGTTTTTGGACTGCAAAAAGTTCCTTTCTATTTTCTAAACTGTTGTTGCTGACCATTATTATTGACCCATATTTTGTCCCAGTTATGCAAATTTCTATGTCAGGTTGAATTGTACCTAATAGTGCAAAAAATGCTGCAAACATAAGCATTATATAAAAAAAAAAACAACAAACCAGATTTTTGTTGTGAAGAGACATTTGAGGATTTTGTTGTATTTCTTAGCTAAGCAAGAAAGTCATCATGTAATCCAACCAAAATTAAAAAAAAGATGAGACCTGAAAAGTAAATGCAAGTTATAATTTGTTAGAAGTTCTAGAGCTATGCTGGTTTTTGATTGATCGTTCATGTAATTTTGTCAGTATATTGTGCGATGGCTTATATGTGAACTTGAGCATGTTGTTGGATCTGTGTATGTTTCGAAAGGTCTTACATCATTATTAGGCTATAGTCCTCCAGTATCTCTATGGTTACAGAGAAGCAGTTTGCCTCTTACAGCTGGCCCCAGGACAGGATCCGTTCCTTATTGTTAGAAAATACAAATAAATATATTGGGGGGAATTTTTGTATGCAGAATTCTGAATTCTTTTAGTGGATGTATTACTTGTAAAACTAACTTGTCAAGCTTTCACTAATACACTGTTGGTCTCGAGGTGTTTTCTATTTCTTTGAACTAACTCAGTTAATCAAGAGTTTTAAAAATTATAGCCAGCAGGTTCTATACATTCATTCTTCATGTGTCAAGAAATTAATTTTGCTGTATTTAGTTATGACCTACTTTAAATTTAGGTTTCATCCATGTTGAATCCAGCTCATTCATTCATTTCATTCATTCATTTTATTCAATCATTAATTCATTCAAAGCCTTGGGGTAAAACATTCAAAAGTTTTCATAGTTTATCTTTTTTGCATTTGTCTATATATAACTGCTTTGTCAGTGTCCTTAGGAAACATTTAAAAAGACTTAAAAGCTAAAATTTAGCCTGGCAATCGATATATCGCTGTATCGCCGATAATTCATTACCGATATATCGATACTAAAATCCTTATCGATGACATCTCTACTCTTTTCAATCTAGACCTGTTTTTGGGCTGCAAAAAGTTCCTTTCTATTTTCTAAACTGTTGTTGCTGACCATTATTATTGACCCATATTTTGTCCCAGTTATGCAAATTTCTATGTCAGGTTGAATTGTACCTAATAGTGCAAAAAATACTGCAAACGTAAGCAATTATATAAAAAAAATAGCAACAAACCAGATTTGTGTTGTGAAGAGACACTTGAGGATTTTGTTGTATCTTCTTAGCTAAGCAAGAAAGTCATCATGTAATCCAACCAAAATTAAAAAAAGATGAGACCTGAAAAGTAAATGCAAGTTATAATTTGTTAGAAGTTCTAGAGCTATGCTGGTTTTATAATCGTTCATGTAATTTTGTCAGTATATTGTGCATGGCTTATATGTGAACTTGAGCATGTTGTTGGTGTGTATGTTTCGAAAGGTCTTACATCCATTATTAGGCTATAGTCCTCCCAGTATCTCTATGGTTACAGAGAAGCAGTTTGCCTCTTACAGCTGGCCCCAGGACAGGATCCGTTCTTATTGTTAGAAAATACAAATAAATATATTGGGGGGAATTTTTGTATGCAGAAATTCTGAATTCTTTTAGTGGATGTATTACCTTGTAAACTAACTTGTCAAGCTTTCACTAATACACTGTTGGTCTCGAGGTGTTTTCTATTTCTTTTGAACTAACTCAGTTAATCAAGAGTTTTAAATTATAGCCAGCAGGTTCTATACATTCATTCATGTGTCAAGAAATTAATTTTGCTGTATTTAGTTATGACCTACTTTAAATTTAGGTTTCATCCATGTTGAATCCAGCTCATTCATTCATTCATTCATTCATTTTATTCAATCATTCATTCATTCAAAGCTTGGGGTAAAACATTAAGAAGGAGAAGAAATATAGGTGATTTAAATGCCTTATAATTAGCCTAATAATTATATGTCACTTGGCAAAATCTCAGGGTTTTCTAAAAAAACAAAATCTGTAGTGGTAGGCACACTACAACAATTGCAGAAAAAACATTACATCATTTCACTTAAAAGTCCTGAATGTTTGTCAATGTTAAGATAAGAGGTAAGTTTTCACATTTCCGCCATACTGTCATGATGGCTTCATCAGGTTCACGTTATGAGGATAATGATACATTAAAATGACATGGACTGCCTGCTTCAGGGTTATCGTTATTAAATGCTTTTAAAATTGGTTGTATTTTGAGTCTGTAGATTAAAATCTGTTGCCTCAGATACAAATGAAATCCCTGTACTTCATATTGACAAGATGTTCTATAAATGGAGATTTTAGACAAATGCCAAAGTAGTAGATTGGGTTAGTTATTTTATGGAAAAAAAATATGATATTAAAGTTTTAAATACTGATGATTTTTAACATCTTTTTTTTATCAGTTTCGCACTCATGCTTGTTGGTTTTGGACAACAAGATTTCTTCAGATTGGTCTAGGTTAGTGATAAAACTCGCACTTTATATTCATGGCTATCAACCTAACAAACCTAATCAATGTGGGTTTACAACTTTTACCTGGAACTAGGATTTTGTTCAGTGGGAATTTCTTTCCAAGGTCATTCATTGTTAATAGAGGTAGCTCTAAGGTTGATGTTTTTTTGATAGCTTCTTGTGAGGTCACAATGTGGGATATTCTTACGGACATTTCGGCTTTATTTACAGGATGATGTTGTATTGCATGGTTACCTGCCCAAAATTTTCTCTGTTTTTTTCTTTCCCTTTTTTTTTCACATTTTTTTTTTTATTGAAATATGTTAAATAATGTCTCAGTGTTAATGTCCATACAGAGCAAGGATGATAACCAGCCTTCCACTTCTGAACCGAAAGTCGATTCTCAAAATAATGTCGAAAATTCGGAAAACCAAATCGATACTACCGATAAGCCGGCTGTCGATCAGGAATATAGGTCGGACGATACCGATAGCAATGCGTCCGACTTTACGGCCGAGGAACCGGCTCAGGAGTCAGTGCCTGATATTGACAGTGCACAAAAGGCCTCGGAGAAGGTTACTGAACAAACAGGACACCTGCCTGTAGAAACTGACCAAAGTTCGACTGCCATGCCCCCATCATCCCCACCGGAATCTGTGTTCAAAAATTTGAGACCATCCGAAAACCGATACACTTTAAAAGACAAAGATGAATTGTAAAATGGTTGTGTTAAAGAATCTGCCAATAATTTCAATGGTTTGTGTGTTTATTTGTTAACATTTTACATCTTAATTAGTTTAGTGTGACAGTGCAGTTTTATTTTTTAGTCTTTTACCCTCACATAGTCTAATATAGGGAATGGACTTGTCTGTTTTTAATCTGGACAAAATCATAATTATATGGGAATTTTCAGTGTAGACCATCGTCTGATTTTGGTCAGTAAATTTAATCAGATATGGTCATTTTACACTATAGAGTCTTCTTAGAATAGATCTCGGTGTCTTTATTCAGTTTTTGCTTCTTTTAGTTCACACAAGTATTAGGTTTTGTTTATGTAAAGGGTTATTCTAATGCATTGTCATAGGTATAGAGTTGTCTATTTAAAGTAGCATGTAACGGAATAAAAATACCCCATTAAAGCAATTCAATTGAAACTTAATTAATAAGAAAATAGCCCATAAACCAATAAAGAAAGTAAAACTTTGATGAAAAAAACAAAACAATTTTATTGAAGAAAATATTGGTTATTTAGAGTCAATATTTTCTTCAGTAAAACTGTGTCTGTTGGTGAGTGGTTAAGTTTGATGACTCCAAACCACTTGACCCTCACCGATGTGGGTTTGAATCTCCAACGGGACTTTTGACTCTTTCATGTGAGGAAGCAATCTAGCTTAAGCTTACGGATTGTTGATGGTTGTACTCAGGTGCCAGTTTGTGTTCGAATTAAGGCCTGGTTCAAGGGCACCTGAGATCTTCCTCCACAAGTAAAGATTGAAAGTCGCCATATCACCTTTAATGTGTTGGTGCAAGCTTATACCCAACCAAAAAAAAATATTGACTAATATTTCTATTTATATGCAATATTGATTTTAAACTTGAATCAAAACATACAGTTAGTAATCATGATACAGAAATGATTAAAAGGATCGAAAAAAAAAAGGCTATATATTTGTATGCCCCCACTTCTTCATTTGGTGCATATAGTTTTTCCCTTGTTCCTTTGTCATGTCATTCTGTTGAAAGACTGACCAAAACAGTAGAATATTCTAGCTCTTTTAGTTCTGTATGTAACAAAGTTTCATTATGCATGCTGTTATATTTAATATTTAGTTAGAAAAATAAGCTTGAACTAGCATTATTATTTAGTTTTTACCATGTCACAGCTAACATATCCACCATTATGTCAACTGGTTTTACAATAGTCATATGTTGTGTATTGTCATTAATAGCCTAACAGTAGTTGACATAGACACTCCTTCTTGTCATTACTAATGCATTGTTAACATATTGAGTTGACCAAAACAACTGTAACGATTTAGTGCAGTCTACCGACAGGTAAACTGCACTCTGTATTATAATGATAAAAAAAACCCCCAAAAAAACAGTGTGTTGACAAGGAAAAAACTATTTTTATTTGACATGAGATATGTGCAGTGTCTTGACAGGCCAAGTGAATAGATTGTGCCAATTTCATTGCCCCCTCACTTTAGCTGGGGCTGTAAAATTGGGATTTTTCCCACACAGAAAAAAATCTTTAAAATCATGCTGTAGGCACATAATTTTATTATATACTTATAAATGAAATATTGAGAGCTATTGTTGAGATAAAATGAGTATTTTCACTTTCTGTATTTTCACTGCAGTGAAAGATAGTTTCTGTATTTTCACTGGTGTCTTACTTAACTTTCTGGTAAATTCAGCCAATACACAAAATTTAAGGGAAATTCTTATAAATTGTGATGTCAAAAAACAACCACTCGTAAAATTTTCATATTAAATTTCATACCAGTGGATGAAAATAAATCCTGTATTTATGAAAAAAACTTGAATATCCTCTATGTGTGTGTTATCACAAAGGCCTCAAAAACTTACCTGCTGAATTTCTAAAATGGACTTTCCATTATCAATTTTGGTATATCATGGTGACAACCTAAAGGTTATACAGCCAGAGCCTGGTTGGACTGCCCAGGTGTGCAGGTTTACCTGGCTGTATACTGATGGAAAAGGCTAATCATGTAGGTTTTTTTTCAGTCGAGTTTAAAGGTTTACTTGTCAGTGATGTACTTATGCACATTTTATGTTGTTTTATATATAATCTAAATCTAGTGCACTGCTCCTTAAAATCATAATTCAATTATAATTAGATTTTATCAGTATAGAATTTGTAGAGTACTTAACAGATTTCTTTCATAATTCTTATATTTATTTGTCAATATATATAAACAAAAAATAAGCAAAACATTAAATATTCATTCATAAAGATTTTTTTCCTTCACTTTTTAAATAGAGAAAGAGATTTTGAATATTTGGTTTAATTAATGGTAGTTTAAAAAAAGAAGACTGTTTTCAAGTGGATTATAAGTTTCCCTAACAGTATGACTGAAAGACAACAAGGTTTTAACTACTTGCGATCTATGCCCCCCTGAATGGGGTGGGTATATAGATTTGCCTTTATTTGGTTTACTGTCACTGTGTCCGTCTGTAGACTGACAAAACAAAGAAATGTTGGAGCATCTGTGTTATGTAATGAACATAATTTCTTGTTTTCTTGTTATCCTCCAATTTTGGAAAAAAAATTCTGATATAAACCAAAGAAAATATTGTGTTGGATACTAAAATGTTTTAATTCTTCCATTGTACCAACAGTGTTTTTGTATACATGTACAGCTATGAAACATATATTTCATTATTTATTATAATATTTTATACATTATTACAATATAAATGATAAAAGAAATCAAACTTAATTAAAATCCTATTTTGGTTAATTAAATATATTCCTTACTATACTCTATAAAATATTATTTGCAAGACTTAACACTAGTATATTAATTTTATGTTATATCCATCAGTAAAGATGATATCTTGTACAGGCTTGTTAATACTATGTTCTTATACAACCCTGTGTACTCAACATATAACCAAACCCCCTGTTTTCTGAGATTAAAAAAAAGCAACACAATTTTATAGTTATCATAATGACATTTTGCTATTTTGGTTAAAGGTAGTGGGGATGACAACAAACATTAGTAAATTTTTTAAACATTTAGTACTGCAGGTGTTATGTTGTGTGTAAATTGTAATTCACTGTTAATATTTCATCTTATTTTGACTGTTTCAATACCCCTTCACTGTAGCACTGACTAAATTTCTACTTTGATCAGTTCATTAATTAGTTAATATGAATAGATAACCTTGTTTTATGTGTAACACTTATTTGTAACCATCTTTACTGTTATCATTTGACCATCTTTTGTGTGAAGTCGGAACTTACTTACAGAAAATACTTTACTGTCACTCTACATGAACCCTTAACCCCTGCTGGAATACAAGTGATAAGTCTTAATTTGCCACTAGTATAGAGCCAGGCCAGTCTGCACATCTGTGCAGTCTAACGAGGCTTGAGTCTGTTTGCCGACTATCTTTAAATTTTGATATTGATGCCCTTCACCGCTGTTGGTTCGAATCCCTACAAGGAATTTGGATTTTTTCCTGTGAGGAAGCTTAATCCATCTAGCTGACAGAACATTGATGGTTCTACTCAGGTGCTCATTTGTGCCAGAAATAATGTACAGTAGGGCACCTGAGGTCTTCATCCACTATTTGAATTGGAAATTTGCCATATGGTCTTTACTGTGTTGGTGTGACATAAAACCCAACCAGAAAAATAAAAATCCCAAAAATGGATTATAAAGGAGGCTGAATAAGTGCATGTAAGAAATCCAGCAGGTCGTTGAGAGGTATTAAAACTTATATGAAAAAAAAAAAATGATAAATGATAATGAATAAATAAAACTCAACAATTTTAAACGTAATATTTTATCTCCTTTATCTTTGCAGCAAGCCGGACATATTCCTCATGAACCAAGTGATAAACCGGAGCAGCCAACCAGCCCGCCAGAATCAGCGTTCCAAAAATTAGCGCCATCTGATAACCGTTACACTATTTTAAGGGAGCGTGATGAATTGTAGTTGATCCCCCGGTTAATTTTATATATATATTCTCAATTTTAACATTTTAATGCTACTGTTTCACATTTAAGAGGTTATTATTTTTTACCTTGTATTTTTCTCATTTTTTTTTTCAGTACTCTGTTGTTTTTAAAAAGTGATTAATTATATGGTCTTTTTTTTAATTTAAATATATTAATCATAATTATGGTCTTTTTGTGTCGCCTTGAAAAGGTGACATATAGGGGTTACTTTTGTCGGCGGTGTCGGCGGCGGTGTCTGTGTCGGCGTCGTTGTCGGCGTCGTTGTCTGCGTCGTTGTCGGCGTCCCCTAAAGCTTGTCCGGAGCATAACTCAGTCACTATAAGTCTGAATGACTTCAAACTTGGTATGCATGCTTCTTTCAATAACCCGAAGTGCAGTGCACAAGGACCGGTACTCTGCAGTTCTTATTTTTTGAGTTATTGCCCTTTGTTAATTTTCATACTTCAATTTTGTCCGGGCCATTTCTCTTCAACTAAAAAAGCTATGGACTTGAAACTTCATAGGATGATAGATCTCATTATTAAGAAGTGCAGTGCACAAGAACCAGTACTCTGCACTTCCTAATTTTTGAGTTATTGCCCTTTGTTAATTTTCATACATTATTTTTGTCCGGGCCATTTCTAATGTATATAAAAGCCATGGACTTGAAACTTCATAGGATGATAGGTCTCATTAAGAAGAAATGCAGTGCACAAGAACTGGTACTCTGCATTTCTTATTTTTTTGAGTTATTGCCCTTTGTTTATTTTCATACTTTAATTTTGTCCGGGCCATTTCTCCTTAAGTATAAAAGCTATGGACTTGAAACTTCATAGGATGATAGATTTCATTATTAAGAAGTGCAGTGCACAAGAATCGGTACTCTGCATTTCTTAATTTTTGAGTTATGGCCCTTTGTTAATTTTCATACTTAATTTTTGTCCAGGCCATTTCTCCGAAAGTATAAAAGTTATAGACTTGAAACTTCATAGGATGATAGATCTCATTAAAAAGAAGTGCAGTGCATAAGAACTGATACTCTGCATTTCTTATTTTTGAGTTATTGCCCTTTGTTGATTTTCTTACTTTCTTTATTTTTGTCCTGGTCATTTTTCCTCAAGTATGAAAGCTATGGACTTGAAACATCATAGAATGATAGATCTTATTGATAAGAAGTGCAGTGTACAGAAACTGCTGCTCTGCACTTATTATTTTTTTAGTTATTGCCCCTTGTTATTTTTCATATTTCATTTTTGTCCTGGCCATTTCTCCAAAACTACATTGTTCACAAGGCGACACATCCGACTCGCGGAGTTCTAGTTTTAATTTAAATTTATGGTCTTTTAGTAATTGAGCGACTTGTTAGATGTAATTTTATGATGTTTTAGCTTTTTCTTCATTAAATTTCTGAGTATAACGTTTGTGAAAAAGATTTTAAAATTGCTTAGTTTTTAATTATAATTAACTCGCTTCAAAAAGGTTTTTCTCAGTAGTAATGCTTGTAGAGTAATTTAATATTTATCTTTTCTTAACTTTTTCACTAGATATCACTTAATATTGGTTAAGACTCCAGAGTTTAAAGAATAGGTTGAAATAATTTTTTGCTTGAATTGTGAAACAGTAGCTTTGAATATGTAAAACATGTATGTCTCTAGCTTTTTGTCAGATTCTAGTGATTTTTGAAAGTTGCTGTCATTATTTGTTACCTTGTAAAATCATGTTGAGAAACAGCATTGTAAAGTCATGTCAAAGAATAGCATGATTTCTATCGTTTTTAGCTAGAATAGGGAGGGCAATGATTGTTACATGTAGTCTCCCAAGTGTCACAATTTGGTTAAGTTTGTACCTGTAAGGTGGTGTCTAAAAAAGTACTGAAGGGAAAGAATTGAACCTTTACACTTATTTAAGAGCATAGTAGGAGGTCACTGACCAAGGCCCATAACTCTAACATGGATTTTTGACAAAATAATGGCCCTTTTCGAACATAGAATATTCTTCATTTTTTTTGGCTCTTTTCTCATTTTTTTTTACTATCAAGGACTGAGAATAGTGGAGCAAGCTGTCCTACTAACAGCTCTTGTTTTTTTCTCTCTTCTTGTTGTCACTATCTTTTACATGTTGGTTTGTATTCTAAAAAGCTTATTTTGTAATTTTGCTTATGTGATATTGGTCCATGGCTAAGGATTACCTTTGCTTCACTTTTAAAGATGAAATATTGGATCATGGCCAAGGCTGTTATGACTGTAGTTTATTGTAATGAATGTAGTCCATGTCTTATTTGAGGACCAATAAAACTAGATATTGGTCCATGGCAGAGGGCCAATGTGACAGCAGTTAAGTAGGGTGATATTGGTCCATGGCTGAGAGCCAATATGAAAGCAATTAAATGTAGTGATATTGGTCCATGGCTGAGGGCCAGTTTGACTGCATTTAACAGTCATTATATTGGTCCATGGCTGAAATGTTATGTTATTGTAGTTAGGTGTGGTTAAAATGGAACAATACAAGTTCATTTTTGTATAGCGTATTTAACCATGGATTAGGCCAATATGTATTGTTTTGTAAGAGATGTTCCATTTGAAATTGCTTACTTCACTTTAATTTTCCAAAAACATAACTTCACATCTATTTGAAAGCATAATCGAGATTCCAAATAATTTACACTTTGATGACTGGTGAAGGTTTTCAAGATATTTACCTCTTTTAAACTTGCCAACATAGTTTTGTTACTGTAACAATGAGTTTTATAAGTCTTTCGTTTAAGCCATACATCTAACAAGTTAAAGTCATTTTCATTGTAAATTGGTGCATTTTCATTCTTCCCTTTTCATACAGTGAAATGATAAAAATGAATGCATCTCTTAATCATTTTTGTTTTCTCATTTGTGAATTGAAATATTGTTCTTATGCTTTTGATAACTGTATATTATTATTATTATTAGCATTCAAACCTGTTTGCAAAGAATCTACGTGGGAAATAAGTAAGGTTTATCGATATTTATGCTCACTTTGTATTTACATATCGTCACCTTAGTGCAATAACTGGTTAACTCTAAATTGAATTTAGATGGGCTTAACCCATTACTGCACTAAAGTGAAAATATGATAATTATAATATAATAATATTACTCATCACTCGCTTTCTACAACACTCTGTATGGGAGCTGTTTTATATGATAAATATATAGGATCTCACATGATTTGCCATACCAAGTAAGATTTTATTAAACAAGTTCAAGGAAAAGATATAACATTTTCTCAGACCAGTTTAATGAAATTTTAAATGAGAACAAATGTCAGATTCTTGTGATCACATGACTTAAATACATTGAAATTTATGAAAATATACAGTTTATTTGATGTTCTAGGCGTGCTTTTGTACATGTTTTTTTAGCTCACCTGTCACAAAGTGACAGGCTGAGCTTTTGTACTCGCTTTTCGTCCGTCGTCCGTCCGTAAACTTTTACTTTAAATGACATCTCCTCATAAACCACTAAGCCAATTTCATCCAAACTTCACAGGAATGTTCCTTTGGTGGTCACCTTTAGAAATTGTTCAAAGAATTAAATTCCATGCAAAACTCTGGTTGCCATGGCAACCGAAAGATATATTTTTTAAAAATCTTCTTTAAAAAAAATCCATAGAGCTAGAGCTTAGATATTTGGCATGAAACATCTTCAGGTGAGTGTCTACCAAGTTTGTTCAAATAGAAGCCCTGGGGTCAAAATTGGCCCCGCCCCAGGGGCTCATAGATTTTCCTTATATGCATATAGTAAAAACTTAAAAAATCTTCTTTTAAAGAACCCATAGAGCTAGAGCATGAAACATCTTCTAATGGGTGTCTACCAAGTTTGTTCAAATAAAAGCCCTGGGGTCAAAATTGGCCCTGCCCCGGGGGTCATTGATTTTCCTTATATGTGTATAGCAAAAACTTAAAAAATCTTCTTTGAAAAAACCCATATAGCTAGAGTTTAGATATTAAGCATGAAACATCTTCTAATGAGTGTCTACCAAGTTTGTTCAAATAAAAGCCCTGGGGTCAAAATTGGCCCCGCCCCGGGGGGGTCATTGATTTTCCCAAGATGCATATTGTAAAAACTTAAAAAATCTTCTTTTAAAGAACCCATAGAGCTAGAGCTAAGATATTTAGCATGAAACATGTTCTAATGGGTGTCTACAAAGTTTGTTCAAATAAAAGCCCTGGGGTCAAAATTGGCCCCGCCCCGGGGGTCATTGATTTTCCTTATATGTGTATAGCAAAAACTTAAAAAATCTTCTTTGAAAAAACCCATATAGCTAGAGTTTAGATATTAAGCATGAAACATTTTCTAGTGAGTGTCTACCAAGTTTGTTCAAATAAAAGCCCTGGGGTCAAAATTGGCCCCGCCCCAGGGGGTCATTGATTTTCCCTATATGCATATAGTAAAAACTTAAAAAATCTTCTTCTAAAAAACCCAAAGAGCTACAGCTTAGATATTTGGCATGAAACATCTTCTAATGAATGTCTACCAAGTTTGTTCAAATAAAAGCCCTGGGGTCAAAATTGGCCCCGCCCCAGGGGGTCATTGATTTTCCCTATATGCATATAGTAAAAACTTAAAAACACTTCTTTTAAAGAACCCAAAGAGCTAGAGCTAAGATATTTAGCATGAAACATCTTCTAATGGGTGTCTACCAAGTTTGTTCAAATAAAAGCCCTGAGGTCAAAATTGGCCCGACCCAGGGGTGTCATTGTTTTTAACTATATGTGTACAGTAAAAACTTAAAAAATCTTCTTTTAAAAAAACGAATGAGCTAGAAGTTAGATTTTAAGCAGGAAACATCTTTTTGTTGGTGTCTACCAAGTTTGTCCAAATAAAAGCCCTTGGGTTTAAATTGGCCCTGCCAAGGGGTGGGGGGGGGTGGAGGTCATTGTTTTTTATTATATGTGTGTAGTAAAAACTTAACATTATGAAACATCTTCTAATGAGTGTCTTCCAAGTTTGCTCAAATAAAAGCCCTG